TATATATTAAATACCGTAGTGGTTTTGATAAATTGTTTGTTTCTCTTTTTTGTAGTCTGATATACCTGAAGGTGTGATAAGAGTCCATGCTCCATTGCATTCAAAAGTTTCTATGGCAATTCAACCAAATAATCAAACAAAAGCGAAAGATATTGTGGCACGATTTTATTATGAAAACAGGCAAGTAGAAGCAGAACAATGGGCAAGTAACCCAGATTCAAGTTTCATTGTTCAAGTAGGCTTTATCTTGTTTAAGAAGTAAAGAAAGCTTGAACTTGTATTTGACTCTAGTTAATATGCGAGGCTAAGATGGGTCATTATTAATGGAAAGCATCCATGTGATTGCTCTGCCAGAGCATTAATCTACAGCTTCATTCACTTGTTCATGTCATAATTTCCAAGTTTACTAACTTTAGGAACTGAGCTCCTAGCCAAGAAACAAAAGGGAAACAAAAAAGGATTTGCTCTAGTACAGCTGAAGCCAAGTGTTACACAAATGAGACCCATTCACCAGTGTTTTCCCCCCACACTGCTAGTATTAAAATGAATGAATCTAAAAATTACAACAAGCTGGTTTTAATTATAGTTTCTCTGGCTCAGCTAAGAAAACTAGCTTTGTGCTGGCCCTCTGAACAGCATTTCCTCTCAACAGGCAAAGCAATTAAGAGAAAACCTATGGTTCTTAAATGCCACTTGCAAAGACCCATTAGATGTTCATAGACAAGACAGCAGGTAGACAATTTTCATATGGCTTTTTTATGGCTTTACAACTTCACTGTTTCTTTCCCACTGTCCATTGCTTCCCACTTTTCATGAGAGCTGGATAAGTTTACAAGTTCCAAAGCTATCATAATTTCCCTTCATTCAAGCCTATATTAGCAGGGATTTGGGTTCATAGATCACTGCACCCACTAGTGTTCCAAAGGCAGAAGAGTGCTGAAAGTTGAGCTTTCTTTTGATGCAAAGTCTATGAAGTGTAGAAAGTGTAGAAAGAGTTCAAGTATGTACTACGGTTCTTTGTAATTTGTAATTAAAGAGAAAGATGCATGTTTCCAATATGCATGCCAAACAATTGAATTTATTTACTGAGAATCTAATATAATATAGTGAATCTTGAAGAAAAATGTACAATTAGAATTTGCA